GTAAAATTTGGGAATGAGAAAAAGCTGTCATTATGACCAGATGGCCGGCTTATAGAGGTGGTCACTGATCATGACTAAGAGACATTTTCTACACAACCAAGTCTTTTATTCAGCTGACGTTTCGGTGACCGTCTGTCACCTTCTCAGGGCAATTGTCGGACTTCACATTGCATTGCAGCACAGGTGTGAGGTGTCGCTGCTACACAGCATTCCCAAATGCATCATGGTTACAGGGAACTGTATCACTATAATGCCAAACAAAGGAGTTGCATATATACAAAATTGTGGTCAGTTATGAGATCAAAGCATTTACAGAGAACACAGAGAACAGGTCCACGGTTGCCCTGAGGAAGGTGAGAGACAGTCACCGAAATGTTGAATAAAAGACTTGTGTAAAGAGAGTCTCTCTCTACTCAGTGACTTACTAACCTGATGAAACTATTCACGGAGAGGTGGTCACTTTTGCAAGTTTGACTGTATACTAGACAATGTGTTTAAAATACTGGAAACAGTCTGACATCAAGACTATGCTTTAAGAAGGACATTACAAAATGTATATCCTTGGTAAATTATGAAAATATTACAAGTTTAGTTTTCAATACTATAACCCATCCACTAGTGATTTTTTAAGTTTCAAAAGTTCTGCAATTTTTTCGTAACCTTTTTAGTAGACCAACAAAATGCCTACTACTGGTTAGCATGCTAGGGTTGGCTTGTAACATGATCTCCAAGAAGCAACTGTGGTAGAAAATTGTGGGCTTGCTTGTCATGGCCTCATCTGCCCTAGATAAGGAGGTATCAGGAGACCTCCTAAGAATAAATAGAGCATGTGTCTGGCTTCTGGTGTTGCTAAATGATTTATCCCCTGACCAGAGGGCCTACATTTGTACCAGAGTCCACCCAACTGCACTGTGAGTGTGAGGGTCTCCCAAGGATTAGCTGGCTAATCCAGCGTGTAATTAAGACATGTGAAGCCTTTCTTGAGGCATATACAATGCACATGAAATTTTCACTTCTTCCAGTTGAATAAAATAGAATCTACTCTCTGACAACTATTGGAAACTTTGTACCAAACTACCAGAATCAATGTAATTCAAAAATGACTACCATGTTGGATGATGGTAAACGCTTTCAGCACTGCACAGGGGGAAGGGAAGATTGTCCTTCATAACATGGAGAGCATGAATGGGCACTACAAAAAGGCTGCAGGAAAATTGTTCCCTGTGCCACTTCATACCTGTAGGATAACTCTTGTCAGAATCAATATGCAAAGTGAGCCAATTTTAGTAGCATTGTGCTCAGTAAAAAGTTTCAAACCTCCTCCCAGATCTAGAGGTATAAATTGAAGGGGATTCATTCCTCAAGCTAACCAACATCTTGCACACACAGTACAGTCGTCCCTCAGTAAGACATCTGCAGCCGCATAGTTTGTTCCCGTTTAGAAACTTCTCGTAACATGACTGTAAGGGTAAACTTCTATGCAGCAGAGAAAAACCCAATGCTCCATTATAAAAATTTGACTATACAATATGTATATGCTGCTCAGCTGTGTGGGCAAACACTACATCCTTGTTGCTAACACTTTTATTATTAGATTTGCAGTTAAATTGCTTTTTTTTTGTGTTTCAAGTCACCGCATTTCAAATGCAGATTGCCCACCATCTTGACCACGCCAGAACCGCTGCAACTGCGCCAGAAATTTTGCTTAAGAAGGAACTCAAAAAGTTTATACAACGTGGAATCTAGGCAGAAATATAGACCAACGACAGAAGAAAACGAATACATCTGATGTAACAGTTTAACGTTAGGGCAATATTAGAAGTAGCTTATATTAGGCCATCTGTGACAGTTTCAACAAATTATATCCTTTTAGGATCTATTTTGCCAGATAGGACTGATTTCCTCTGTGAACATGTTTGAGTGGCCAGGATTTAGCTCCCGTTGCGTGAAGGCTGATATTTTGCGGGTTGTAACATTCACTAAAAAGACTGTGATCCCACTCGCCATTCAACTTTCGAGCGTAAAGTTAGTAACTTGGGGGAAAACATGTAACTGCGTGTTTTCTATTCATATTGATTGGCAATGTATTCACAGCATCTTACAAGGTCCATGTCTAATGATATTATAGGCTGATCGGTTATTTTTGTGGTACTTTGCATCACACCAGGCATCGGAAGCCAATCCATTTTGTGTTCACACTCGCGGTTACGCCTGATCCCGCCGCAAGTGTCTTGAACTACCTCCTCGAGGTGGATTACTTTTGGATCGGGATGGGAGAAAATCAATCTGGATTTGAGTGTTCACACTGCAAAAACTGATCTGGATTGACTGAATTTCAATAATTTCGATCGGGGTCCGTGGTCAATCCGGATCCATCTTTTTGAAGGTGAACGGGGTCTACAAACAGAGAAGTTGACCTACCTAATAAGAAAGGCCAGTTAAACCTTGGCCACCCTTTGGCCAGTGTAACTCACCAGCTAAGAGTCCATGTAGTGTTGTAACAAACCACACCTTTTGAAAAAGAGAAGGGGCATGCCCTGGTGTGCGATGGTCCAAATACTAGTACTTATCTGATTATTCACTACGGACAAGAGTAGTGTGAAATTCACACTGATGGAGATCCTAAAACAAACAAACAAACAAACAAACTACAGTCAACACAACAGATATAACAGCAAAACCAATGGTAAACAGAGCGTAACTTGGAAAATTCCAACTATTATGCATAATTATGCATAAGCCTGAGAACAGTTATGCATAATTATGCATAAGCCTGAGAACAGTTATGCATAATTATGCATAAGCCTGAGAACAGTTATGCATAATTATGCATAACCCTTGGAAGCCTTATGAACAATTATGCATAACTGTTTGAAGCATTATGCATAACTCTTGACCATTATGCATAATTATGCATAACCTTCAAACCCTTATGCATAATTATGCATAATTATGCATAATTATGCATAATGTTGCAAATTTAGATTAATCCCCAGGGGGCAATCGATGGTGGCTACGTATTTCTTACATCATTTTTACCTATAGTTTGCAATTTTAGCCCATCAGGGTGTAAGGTGGCTGAGATATGGGAGGCCAGTCCGGAATTAAACTGGAAGTCCGGAATTAAACTGGAGGCTGTTAATAAATAATACAAATGATACACATATTTGTTCCACAATTATTCTGTACTGTACAGACTGCTATGCCAGGCATGAAGAGAGACTGTGGAGGTGCTGCTGCTATTCTGGGGGCATTTTGTGCTGCTGTCCTGCAGGTAAGGACTGTGACATTTTCTCCATTATTTCCCACTCTGATGAACAATTTAAGTCAGAGTTTAGGGGTGTTTCTATTCTCTAACATCATTCATTTTCACCAACTGCAGGTATGACTTCTTCCAATGTTTTGTTTGAGTTTGATGGATCGCGTATGTAGTAGTAGTAGTAGACTGGTTTATTAGAACTTTAGTTGTTACATGAATGCCTCCTGGCAGCCGTGACGGGCTGAATTGTGAGGCGATTTTACAAACTTGTCAGTCTACAAAAATGTGTAACTTAAGAAGTTAACACATTTACAGTTAAAATCGTTACGATATAATACAATGTTAAAATTGCCGTGTTCAACCATTAAAAATTCTAAGGACAATTACTCAAGTGCTATATAAAGCAATATTCATATGTAGCAATGTCTGGCAGGGATCAGTTATAAATTACTTTTAGACATGCTTATAAAATACAAATGCATAATTGTACATGTACATGTACATGTACTACATCTACATGTAGTAGACTCAAATTCAATTCACGAAAAGATAATTCTGAAGTTGATGCTCGGGAGACGTGTGTAACCCACAGCCATCTGTGGCATGTGTACTCATGACTGCAGTCGTAAACCAGGATTGCCATAAGAAATGCAACTCAAAATACATCCCCAAATCTTCTATAGGATGGCTAGTTTGTCTGGCCAATTTCAATGTAATATGACATATATGAGATTAGTACATGTGTATACATTGTACATGTATGTGTCTCCATCCATGCAGGGCTTCCAGGACAACCTTCATGCAGTCTTCTGTCTGGCAGAGAACGCCGTGGGTCCACTCGCCACACGACCAGACGACATCCACAAACTCTACTCAGGACGGTAGGACTCCAGTCTGTTACAGTTTAAACTAAAACAAGAGTACTTTATTTTATCTTCCCCAGAAATAACAAATGCCAACATACAACATGATTGAATAGAAGTTATACATGTGCCAGTGCAGATTACATTGTACATATCCATGTAGGTACAGAAGACATAAAAAATACACGTACCTGCACAGTTATTATTTTACCTGTGCAAGTTGTATAACCAATTCTGAAATGTTGTAGGACTGTGGAGATAAACAACACGGATGCTGAAGGCCGCTTGGTCCTCGGTGATGGGGTAAGTTTTTCTTATTTTTGCTGCAAAGTTTTTACAAGACGATGTAATCAAGATAAAGAATGACAAAAGCTTATCTGCACCTGTTCTGATGTTACCCCAGCCATGTACATGTACATGTACTGTGTACTGTGCTCCAGTATTCTACCCAGCGTCTGTCTTTCTGTCATTTGACAGAATTTTCCCAATCCGTCATCTTTGACAAAAATCAATGTGTATAAAGATATGGAAAGAGATGCCTACCAGTCAAATTTGCTCCTCAAAATGCAGGAAATACATGTAGCATTTCAAAGGGCCAAGATGTTGAAGTTTTCCTGGAGGAGAATCCCCCCCCCCAGCCCCCTAGGTTTGTCATGACTTCAGCACTTGACATGATGTTACAGTACATCAAAAATGATAATAATATTATTATATAATAATAGAGACTTTGTACATGATTACTAAGTCTTTTATACACTTAAGTGTAATGATTTTGCAACAATCAATGTCCTGTGCATGAATAAACTGGATGAATGATGTCATGTCAGGTGGCCTATGCTGCCAAGGATCTTCAGGCAGACATCATAGTGGACATGGCTACCCTGACTGGTGCTCAGGGCATCTCTGTGGGGAAATACCACGCCGCCATCCTTACCAACAAGTAAGGGTCTCGTACTGTACAGTGTAGACACTAGATAGATGCCTACTACAGCACTCCTTATACTACTTCTTTGCTACTGCCAAACCCCACTAAAGCCCCGGTCACAACCCGCCGTACGTGCCTTTTGACCATACTTTTTTTGGGAGGCCACGTCTGCTACGTTTTTCAGAAAACGTAGGGTGACCGGCCGAGGGAGTAGGTCACTCGCACGGTTGCACAAGGTGGCAAATGGATACTGCCTGACCAATTTGATACTGTCTGTTGCTTGGAGATTAACTCGCACGCACGGGTGGTGAATCCGCAGACCGCACGCAGAAAAAGTTTTACATGCACTTAAAGTTCTACGGCGTGTCTGCGTGCTCCAAAATCCGTAGGACTCCGTACAGAGGCTGTACTCACCACGCACGGATGCCCTACGTTTGCCCATGTTTTTGCACGCAGAAGCACGTACGGTGGGTTGTGACCAAGGCTTAAATAAGATGGAACAAGACATTTCACTCGATGCATCTTTACTTAAAGATGATTGTCCCTCCCCATGTGCATGCAATGTACATGTAGATACAGTTATATAACTTCCTTGGTTTGATGTAGGGAGGATCCAACCAGTGCGAGGGCCAGGGAGAAATTGCCCAGTAGACATTACAGTACAAAATGTATTGATTCATAGTTTTGATGCAGCATTGCTGTTGACATGTGTTTCATTTCATTTATTTCGAAGCCTTTTAGCCCTGCAGGGATAGTCTTTCAAGGCTCAAACATTAAAATTACATAATCACATACATGGAAAATACAGTGAATACATTTAAAAACACATGAATACACCAAAACATCAACAATGAACACACAAGTCGATATTAACAATTTAAAAACTAGAGGTTGAGGCTATCGCAAACACTGTTTGTGATCATAGCTTTTTTAAACCTGAGTAGGTTACTCAGTGTCTTAACGTGATATGGTAGATTGTTCCACAGCAATATTGCATGATACAGGAATGAACGTTTCTTACTGTTCATCTTACGTCTGGGTAATCTTAAGTTGTTCTGTGCAGAAGATCTGGTATTGTGAATGTGAGATACATGAACAGGCACAAGGGAGTTGTAGATATACTGTGGTTTGTGACTTGTAACAATCTTAAAGAACATTACCAACATGCTAATGGAAAATCTCTCTCTCACAGTTGGCCAACCAAGATCAATATGCAATGTGTTGAGTCTGGTTTGGTGATGGGTCTTCCACAGTGCCTGTACATCTATAGTTGCACCAAACCTCAGTATCACTGTAACCTTGTGTTCCTGTGACTGCTTTTGTGTTCCAGTGAGCAGTGGGAACAGGCGTGTGTAACAGCAGGGCGCAAGTCAGGTGATCTGGTGCACCCCCTACCGTACTGCCCAGAACTGCACTTCAGCGAGTTCAATAGTGCTGTTGCTGATATGAAGAACTCAGTAGCTGTGAGTGGCAATTTCCTCAGTCATTTCATATGTAGCAGACTTCTATTTTATTATTAACTTCATGATAATGCAAGTAATGCACTTGTTAAATCTGATCAGATTTTATGTCCCTTGCCAGCAGTCAACCCCAGAAAAGCTTGGGTCAGCATGTTGTTGCTAGGGTGAGTCAGATAACCAGCAACACACCACTTTTTCCTAAGCATTAGGCCACGCCGACTTAATTTTATGGATGACGTCCTCTGAAGACCACCAAACTAGTGCGCGCGGGCGAAAAAAAAGAGAAAAACCCTGCCCCAAATAAAAATGCTACTAAACCACAGGAATACAAAGCCAGTATAATTGTGAATTTGGCGCATTACATAGCGACGTATACGACAGGCCAGCACATGCTGGATTTTTGCAGAATTTATGAATCGGCACTGTACGTATGTACTGAGTTCTTGAGTCGCGGAGCTTCGGTAGCCTGCGTGCCGTCCTCCAGAGCCTAAAGCCAGGCCAGAGCCTCGGAGGACCTTTTTTTGGGGGCAAAAATCAATGCGCGCGCGGATGTCATTATTAAGTCGGTGTGGCCTTACATATAAACTATACAGTACTGTTAACTTTGTACTGTAAGCTCTAAGCTAAATTTCATAGCAGGATTTTTAAAAGAATATGATATACATTGTACATGTAGCTGATAACAGTATTTTCTAAGAATGTACTGTAATTGTTCTTTAACAGGACAGGAACAATGCACAGAGCTCATGTGCAGGACTCTTCATTGGTGCCCATCTGGGATTTGACTGGCCAGGGGTGTGGCTTCATATAGACATGGCAGCACCAGCACATTCTGTAAGTCCCACTCACCAACAGGAATACACTAAAGTCCACATGTCTGATTAAACTAGATTGAGATCCTTTTTTCTGCATATCTGCACTAGCCTGGGTTCCAGACCCATAGCACACTGGACACAAAATATCTCAGTGAGCCTGGGTCTGGTAGGGCCAGATAGACCTGCCACTCGAACGCTCAGTATCTGAGCGTAAGGCCCCATTGGTGGAACAGCAGGAAGCAATTTTACACCTCTGCTATGATTGGTTAAAAACTCCCAGCTGTGTGTTTGAATCTTCATAAGCAGATAAGATAAAACTGTAGATAAGGTGTATTTTGTCCTGGTGTGTTAGAGGACTGTTACCTAAACAAACAGAAAAGCCTGGGTTGTACACTACTTCTACTGTTAAATTAAGTTCTGCTGTTATTTTGGAAAATAAACTCCAAATACATCTAGAAAATTGACTGGTTTTAACTGTTGAACCCAAGATTGTCTCCTGCTGACCAATGGTGGTGCCATGTAACAGGCTCCTCCTTATGCTGGAGAGCCTTTTCCAAGGCCTCCGCCAGACCCAGGCTCACTGAGATACTTTGTGTCCAGTGTGCTATGGGTCTGGAACCCAGGCTATATCTGCACTGGTGAAGGTAGGATTGGATATAACCTTCACTTGACAAATTTTACCTGCACTGCTTTGCATGAAAAGTATGAAGAATGCATCAAACTGCAAACTGTTAAAGAACCATTTGAATTCTTTATTTACATGTCGCATTTCACAGGTTGTAAGACTCAAAATATCAGTTACTGTACATACAGCAAACAAAAATCCTCAACACATGTATACCCAGTACATGATCAGAAATACCTGCACAGCTCCAATTTTACCTGCTCTATAAACCTGCATGAACATTTGTACAGGTGGTATTTGGGGCCTGCTAGAACTGTACATTGTATATAACCTCACAACTTCACCGTCCAAATTCCTTGTTCGATATCTTTTTAAAGTGACAGTTTCTTTTCCCAAGCTTTGGAATTCCCTCCCTGACAAGTGTTTCCCACCAACCTACAATCTACAGGCTTTCAAATCAAACGTTCACCGCCATCTCCTGACATAGCCATGTTTCTCTCATATTTCTAGTTCATTGCCTAGAAGTGGTCGTATAGGCCTTGCATTGAACCACTCCGTTAAAAAAAAAAGCTTGCCTTCGTATGGTATTGTTGTTTTAAGGGCAGACACCACATTTGCGTTGCGCAGTAGAGGCCAAAAAATGGGAACACGATTGTAGTGCCTAGTTAATACCTTTGAAAATCCTTTTTTCTCTTGAAAGTTTTGGTCCATTTTGGAGATTTGGGGGCTGGAAGGCACAGGTACCGGTAGGGTCTAAACTTTCCTACATTGGTCATTATGGTCATGTTTTGTTTATTTCACCAGTTTAGTGGGCGTAGTGAGAGATGTCAGTGGTTAGGTCTTGTCTGGCCAGGCGGATTGATACCATGGAAAATGTAGGTCAAAGTTGAGGTTTTGTTACTATCATCAGCTGTGGTGGGAATTTGAGGTGGTCGACCCCCTGTTTCCTTTCTATTTTTGGGAATCAGACCCTTGTGGCTACCTGGTGCCGAAAAATTTTTGAGATTGAAGTATGGGCAAGTACTTTCATGAGGACTTCTAAGTGTATTTAACCATGTATTCCTATGGACAAATCTAATACTAGTAGTACTGTCTGCCCTGAAATGACTTTGTTTCTGATGACTGCTGAATGTCAGTTATTGTGCCCTTCCTGCAGGGTGAGCGAGCTACTAAACTTGTTTTTATATGGTATTGTTGTTTTTAATGACTTTGTTTCTGATGACTGCTGAATGTGAGTTCTTGTACCCTTCCTGCAGGGTGAGCGAGCGACTGGCTATGGTGTAGCCTTACTGCTGGCTCTGTTTGGCCGGGCATCAGAAACAGACCTGCTGCAGGCTGTGTCTCCACTGGGGCCTGTACAGGACAGGCAGGAAAACGCCTGCAAGAAACGCAAACTGGTGTGATCATGAGAGTCCACTCTTCAATATGGACATGGATGACACTGTTGTCCAAAGTCTTCCCAATTTTCATAAAATTTGAAATATTTGTTTAGAAATTGATTAAATAATGGAATTTAACTCTTACTGTTACAGTAGTACTTCATAGATTTTGTGGTTTTGTTTCTTCTTGAAGAAATTGTATTAGAAAATTGCAAAAACACCTGAATTTACGAGCGTATAGATGTACCAAATCATGGCAGATAATTGTGCAGTGTATCAATGACTTCCACCCGGCAGGATAGTACAATGTACATGTAAGAATACATGTACAATTATGTAACGTTACATGGACTTATTTACACCAGGAAAATTGGACACCAAACCCTGCTCTTCAAAGGATTACTAGTATTCCAAACTATATTTTCAACAATGAATAATGGCATAGATAGTGGCCAATAATTCGAGGTTTGCACCAAACATACACCCTTGTCCTACATGTATTACAGACCAAGACACCATCAAAAATCAGTCAGAATGTCTGACTTTCACCTGCTCTGCAGCTATTTCCTGCAATATAAGAACCATCAACCCAGATAGGAGTGGTAGCCTACATGTAGATCTGACTATGTGTTGTGTAGATCAGCATATGACAGTAAGAATACAATGTATGAGTTTCACTACGTTACATTGTGTATTTGGGTCATTTTGTGTTTGTTTTTTTGTGTGTAAGAGATATGACCATTTAGTCATTAAGGAATCCAAGCAGATTATTTCTGACTGTATTGTGCTGTCATCCCTTTCTGATGTGTTACACCTGTACTGAACTATGCCTGTTTATATATAGCCTTGTTCATGTGAAGTCACCCAAACCGCGATTCGGGTAACTCACATTCCTCACATCTGGTCCACGTGCCATACATTCCTTTCAAACCGTGTCCGATCGCCTGAGCTACATTATATTGTTGTTTGATGAAAACAAGCAAGGTAGTGTGTTATTAATGACAGAGGTCAACGACCTGCTTGTTGATGCCCCCCTCCCAGCGTATCTTGGTCGAATGCCGACGTGGTCCCGCCAGAGGTGGTGAAGCTCGCCCTAGAACGGACACATTATTTGACCATTACTGCTTTTTAAGTTGCTGCCACGTAAAAGTTGGTATTGCATATAAATAAAGAAATATCACCCCGTAATCCATGACCAGGCGAAGTTACATTGAAATCACATTGCGTTCAGACGCAAATCGCGATGCGGGAAAACCGATTTGAAACCACCTCTAGAAGTGGCTTGCGATCGAGACGCTTTCAATGTGATTTGGAGCGTTCAGATGGGGCCACTTGAAACCGGCTTCGGGGTAAACCACATGTAAAGCGCCTTCACTGATTTCACATGAACACGGCCTATGTTAAACCTAAAATTTGGTGCTAAGTCTCCAGCACTAGGTTTACTTACTTTTTAACCCTTAAAGCACTGGTTAACAGGAAAGAACACCATGGATGTACTTGGTATAGGACAGATAAAAAGTCTAGTGTAACTCGTGCTTAAGACAAGACTGACATAGGAGTTGACTGTCATTTTGAAATTGTAGCTGAAATTTATGTTCCTACAGTGAAATGAAATTGTGACTTACCCAATTTTTTGGTTGACTTCTTCAATGCTGTTCATGAAATAGATGTGTCTACATTTGTACTTTTGGTACATGATGTCAAGCAGTGGGTCCTTGCTGTGCTTCCATTTAAAAATTTGAAGTAAAGCCACACCAAATTAATTTCTTGGTTAACGGATTTGCCCGCTTCATTTTTTTCTTATTTGCAAAAAAAATTGAGAATAAACTGCCAAATGTTCACATTTTGCCCTGAACAGTTGAAAACAGTCCTTTTCTTCCTAGTTGTTAGAGTTATTCCATCTTTCAATGCAGTGGTATCATTAAAAGTTCAAAATTCATTGTTTAAATTTTGAACCAGCCTGGTGTGTTGACTTCATGGCTCCTATCGTACTATTTTGGGCCATAATAGTATGCCTAGGCCTGTTTTTATTTTCATTTTTTTCGCCCGCCCACTCATTATTCTTCTAGAAAAATCCGTTAACCAAGAAATTAAATTGGTGTGGCCTAAAACATTGAATAAAACTTTAAACCCCACCCCCATGCACACACACTTAGAATGTTTACGATAAGCCCATGTAGTCTGGAATGTTTTATTGTCATTACTCTCAGATGCATCAAATTGTATTACAAAGTTGTTAACAAAGACTTTCTAAAGTTGTAAATGAGCTGACAAATTCATTACATTTGTGGACCTTTCTTTGGGTCCAATTCACCCAGAGCAGTGGTCTGAAAGTAGAGCTCTACCAGGGACCAACAGGGGCACTGTACCTGCAAAGTTTGACACAAAAAGATCTGCAGCAGTAGAAATCAATTGCAGGAAAGCCTTTCAGATATGAACGTAAATTTGGTCAAAGTACATGTAGGATCCGACCTGCATTGCCTTACATTAGCATCCATTTTCCCAATGCATTTACTACATTCTCCACCTTCGCTCTTCTACATGTATCATGATTTTAGAGACGTTTTCTACTATCTTCAGACTGACAATTGTGAGACCATTTGTACTACCACAGTGACTACAGGTTGCTATATTTCATACCCTAGTATAGTATTCGTGTTGTTATTGGAAGGACTTTTTATGATAACAAGGTTTTAAAACATGTTCTGAATCTCCCAGTTCTGAATGGCCCAGTCGTCAGTCGCGGACCCCTGTGCCGTAGTTGGCGCCTCCAGCCTTCTTGACTTCACCCATGATAAAGTCCAGGTCTATGTCAGCCAGGTCACTGGTCATAATCTCTGTAGCGATGCTCTGGAACAGATACATGTACAAACCATTGTTAGAACTGTCAAATGTACACGTGTATGTCATATATAAATGGTTGAGAGGTTTATCTGTGACAAAATAATCTTTTTGATGGCTTTTGACAGATCACGTTTACAACTTTACAGTGTATGACTATTCCAACATCTAAATTTTCTTTTTCTTTCCTTCTTTCTTTTCTTTCTTTCTTTCTTTCTTTCTTTCTTTCTTTCTTTCTTTCTTTCTTTCTTTCTTTCTTTCTTTCTTTCTCTTTCTTTCTTTCTTTCTTCAGTGAATGGTTTTAAACTTTCAGTTAACTAATATACTAGAAATGCGAATCTCAGAGCAAGTCAGGGTCGATTCCAAGAGCCCTGCTGGTGTGTACAAGTATGGAATAAAACCATTATCCGTTATCAAAGAAAAGGTGTAAAACTTTTAAAGTCCGACTTTTAACTCAAGTTGTGCCATCTCTACGTAACTATCCCTTTCTGGCAGGACCCAGAAATATTACTGAGGTTGAGAACAAAACAGTTCTGGTTCAGATGAAGCTGGTCTATGAGGAAAACTAATAATAATTAATGGTTTATTGTCAACTTGTATCTTGTCCACAGCCTGCAGCCAAGTGTTTGGCTGAATTGGTGTAAGGGCATCACAACAATTGTATTCAACGTCAAAAATATGGTAAACACGCTAGAATTACCAGAGATGCACAAAAACGCATTAAAATAACAGTTTAAACAGCAATAAGTATAAATCGACTAAAAGCTAACATTGCACTTGAAGTAGTCTAGTAAAGCGAGGAGTTACACAATCTGACGATGTGTGGGCTACAGCTACATGTATTGTTAAGTGAACAGTTCTAGCGAAGATTGTCCAGATGGTTACAACTAATACAAGTCATGCCCGTAGCCAGGATTTTGCATGGGGGGGGGGAGGGTTCTTCCCAGTGCTTGAGGAACCAGCGAGCGCCGTAGGGGCGAGGCGAGGCACGAAGGCGCGAGGTTCATAGGGGGGTCCGGGGGCATGCTCCCACGTAAAATTTGGAAAAAATGAACCTTCTGAAATGGCATTTCCTGCGTTTTTGAGAGGATTTCAAAGAAAAAATCAGAGATTACTTTTTATTCAATGACAAAGTAGGCAGTTTTTATACGATTCCAGCCCCGCTGGTGATACAAATCAGTCCATCTAAAGAAAAATCTTTGACCTTTACATAAAAAGTGGACCAAAAAGTAGACCTTTGAGCCTTGGCTACGGGCATGCAAGTTGCAGTATGGCGATGCCCACCTGTATGACCTGTTTGACCAGTGCTTTGTCCGTCCCAGTCTTCGCCCTCTTCAGCGGGCTGACGTTCTCTCCCACCCACGTGATGAGGATGAATTTGCTCCGTTTGCTCAGCTCGTCTCCGGCCGTCACGCGGAGGAACCCGAAAATCCGCCCGTCATCTGCAGAAATGGAGACAAAAGGTGTACACATGGTTGTGTCCCCGAGTCGTACACAGGATAAACCCGCCCACATGTCGGACTGGGATCCGCTATGTAGAAATCTAAGAGGATTGTTAGATACATTGTTTATTTTGCATTGATTTTAGATCAGGCTCTTTAGATAACTGTTGACTGTGATTGGAACTTTTAAAGCTGTGACAACTTTTGTTAGGCCACACCGATTTAATTTTATGGATGACATCCGCGCGCGCATTGATTTTCGCCTATTCTAAAAAAAAAAGATAACGTCTATTGAGGCTCTGGCCTGGCTCTAGGCCTGGGTAGTCCATGGTGGTCAGCAACAATACGGAGCCGGATACCCAGGCTACCGAAGCTCCACGACTCAAGAACTCAGTACATACGTACAGTGTCGATTCATGAATTCCGCAAAAACCCAGCATGTGCCGGCCTGTCGTATACGTCGCTATGTAATGCGCCAAATTCACAATACCGGCTTTGTATTCCTAGTGGTTTAGTCGCATTCTTATTTTTGGCCGGATTTTTCTCTTTTTTTCGCCCGCGCGCACTAGTTTGGGGGTCTTCAGAGGATGTCATCCATAAAATTAAGTCGGTGTGGCCTTATATAAATATTTGTCAATTCTTGTGAACAAACACCTCCTTTATGAGTTTTGAGGCAGCTTGGATCAATCGGTATTCTGCGAGTAGAAGCGATCGCTGTGCGCATGTCGCATTCGCCTCATACCGACGTGACTCATACCGACCACCGTTAGGCAGCGGCGTTATTCCGGGAGCGACGGGAGTTATGCCCCGTAGGGACGGTTTGTGCCGCCCCACAAGGCTGCGAAGGACGGTTTACACGTGCGTCGTTTATATGTGTCAGGCGTGGAACGTGCGCGTTTTGTGCGACAGATTTTTTTAGCGTGTAAACAACCTGTGCCGCGCGTCATTTTTCTGTGGCACATCCAGGAGGGGGCGTAGGTTCAATGTTTACACGCTAAAAAAATCTGTCGCACAAAACGCGCACGTTCTACGCCTGATACATATAAACGACGCACGTGTAAACCGGGCCTAACATGGGACGCAGTCTTGGTGTTCTACTGTACTGTATCACTTCAGACGTTGACCAGATGACCTTACTCCAGAACTAATTGCCCTTTCTTTATGCATGTTCTTTACCCATTAATATTAATAACAATAATAATAGTACCAATAAAAAACAGGACGGCCTTAAAAAAACAAGAAAAAACTGAATGACAACCTAAGAACCGTTAACAATTATCTGCTATTTTGGTTTCATATGTAATCAAATACTAACTTGTTTTATTACCTTCAGTATAGATTGTATTTTATTTGATTATATTTCGTTTTTGCTCTGATGATCTGTCCAACTCCGACTTTGAGTTGCGTTATCAATTTCTTTGTTAAACCAAATAAATATTTTGTTGTATACTTTGTTGTATAATTCATATTTTGACTACCACTCTGATTTTGAGTTTAGCTTATGTACTATTCTATCTTTTCACTCTATTGCATAATTTGTTGTACATTTCCGTCCTTTTATTTTGTATACGTAGTATTTTAATGTGGACTCAAGAGTTCCAAATAAATCAAACCAAACCTTACCTATCAGTTACCTATCGAGCGCTGCTCCATCCACATCCCGTAAAAGTCGTTAATTTGAGCCGAAGCAATTTAAAACGACATACTACAATATATTGTACTATACAAAAACCAAATAACAAACGATGAAGGTATGAGATCTTTGACTTCTAGTTTTAAAGATGTCCTTACCGTTGAATTGTTCCCTAAAGCCGTCAAACTCGGCCCCTGAGCTCAGGTGTACCAGGTTGTTCTCCTGGTAGCCGAACGTGGCCCTGCAGTAGCACAGGAAGGATGACGGTCAGGAAATCGCAACAAACACGGCGAACTAGCACCATACATGGGCATTTAAAGACACACCAATTTAATTTGCTGTTTCCCGGACTTTTTCAGAAAAGGGCGAAATTTAAAAAAAAAAAAACAGGCCCAGGCACCCCGTGCAGTGATAGCCGGAAATGGTACAATATGAGCTATGAGGTCAACATACCAGGCTGGTTTATAATTAAAACAATATATTTTGAAGTTTGAATGGAACAAAGTTGCATTGTTACATTAAAAAACTTTAACAACTAGGGAGAAGAGGACTTAGTTCAACCGTTCGAGCCAAAATATGTCTTTTATTGTGCATTTTGCAGTTGATTTAGAACCTAAAAATTCTTCTTTTTTTTGCAAATCAGAAACAAAATGGACAGGGCGAATCCGAGAAACAACAAATTAAATTGGCGTGGCCGTGGCCTAACAACAGTCTAACATCAATGTGAGTAACGTCCGATTTCCGCTTTAGCACGAAATTCATACTTCGTGACGCGGCTGCTGGGATCAAACAACGCGTTGTGTAATGATATGCACGCCTTGTATAAACACAGAACCTCCCCCAGCTGGTCCGCTACATTAGATACATAAATGCAATAATTTGCGGATCTGGGTGTGCCCGTGTAGGCAGAAACAGACACGGCGCAGAAAAGGCGTCCTTTACGACAGGATTTTCTGGAACACATCAAGGTGACGTCATTAACATGTTTCAGTGGGCAAAACCTGCGTTAACGATCCGGTCACATGCTGTACAGGCCTAGTGCCAGGTGTCAAAGTACAGCCAGGTAACTTAACCTGCTCCACCATGTCACAACATACCATATAGTATCGCTGGAATCGTCACGAACATCTTGGTAAGCTTCTCTCATTGACTCCTTGTCCATGACAGTGGCCGGCATGTTGGTGGGGAAGTCTGGGCCCAGATGACGTGCGGAACAATGACCAGTGTGGAGTAGCCGACAAGCAAGTCTATATTTGGTTTTCTCTCACCGGTAGGATGATGTCACAGGGCGCGCCCATTTTATAAAGGGGGTGTGATAATGTACGTACGACGGAGAGGCCTGTGACGGCACAAAGTGCTATTGATAATACTGGAGCATGGTAGATGCATTTTAGTGACGCAGTCAAAGCAGCATTTCTTTAGAAATGGGGAAAATGGAAAGGAGACGGGTAGGTTGACAACAGAAATGCCAGTAACGTTATCTTGTACATACATGTAGCCACGACTGCACATGTGATTCACAAAACCACTTCCGCCATCTCATGACGACATGCTGTCTAGTCAGCCCATCTACACGTATCTACAATAATACGATACCGATAACTGGAACTAATGCTGGACATTGGTGACGACTTTAACATCATATCGAGTGGCTTGACTATATATTAACTACGGTCACTGAATTCTACAACTTGAATGAATGGTAGCCTCCTGTGCAGGCCTCGCGGCGGTGGAGAAGAGTTATTTTGTTATAGCCGGCTATCCTACAACCGGCCGGAAGAAAAGGTTCCATTCCGCGGGGCCTGCACAGGAGGCTAAATGAATGGTGCACACACTAATTCTTCCGTGAACGGGTTTTGAGGGTCCGAGAAATGACATAACATTCAGATGAGATATTAACATGGCTGAAAAGTGTAACAAGTTGTGCTTTTTTAGGTTCGTTCTCAAGTTGACTTCTATTGTACTTGACTTCCTGGCATCATCAGCACGCCCAAAGTGATGCGTCAGTAAGATTTGTCTTTCTGCCCAAATCAGTCATTTTCTGGAATGATCGGATATCCCAAACTAGCCTGGTTACCAAACCTGTTATAGCTCCCGAGTCCTACATCCTCTTCGCTCTATTTGCGGACAGGATGTAGGACTCGGGAGCTATAATAGGTTTGGTAACCAGGCTAATCCCAAACGAGATTTTCCACGGATACAAAGCCGCATTTTAGGGATTTCACCTTCTATTTGAAACGATCGGATCCTCAAGAATAAAAAAAATCGTTTTATGGGGATTTACTTATAATCTCCAAGCAGATGTTTAGGTGGCGCAAAAGACAGTATCAAATTGGCCAGGCAGTATCCATTGGCCAGACTGTAACCATTAGCCACTACGTCGTTTGCGCCACATTAACATCTGCTTGGAGATGAGATTTTTTCGGATATGCGATAAATCCTCGGCTGAGCTTCTGGTTTTCTTGGTTCTGGACATGCTTTTGACTTTGGGCTGTAGATATGTATATTTTGCAATCATGCAAACAGGGGTGTAAAATTGCATAATCAATATGCCACGATTCATCAGTGGTTAATGATGGGAATTTCATACTTGTGACATGTAATAATCGTTAGAGATGAGCATCATAACTTGTGTAAATGATTAGATTTTGGACCCCCTGGCGGCTTGTTCTGGTACTGCAGCTGAACTTCCGGTTTTGACATTTGCATAATTATTGATGGACATGTTAAATGGAATTCTGGCAAAGTATAAAACTTTGCAACATATGTAATTTGAGTTGAAATGACCAATGATTAAGAAAACAACATGCTTATTACCTTCGCCAAGAAGGTTATGTTTTCAGAGGCGTTCGTGTGTGTGTGTGTGTGTGTATGTATGTATGTATGTGTGTCTGTAAACACGATAACTTGAGAAGGCTTAAATGGATTGACTTGATATCTGGTAGGTGGCCTTGAGACCTGGAAATGATTAGATTTTGGACCCCCTAGCGGCTTGTTATGGTACTGCAGCTGAACTTCCGGTTTTGACATCTCATGATCTAGACATGCTAGGGTCACGAAATTTGGATTATAAGGAGCTCTTGTGCTGAGGAAGAGGTGGCATAAGTTTGGGCCCCCTAGCGGCTTGCTCTGGAACTGCAAGGGCATTTGTTTAATACTATTCAAAGGAAGATAACTCAAGATCCGTTTGACGTATGTAGGTAGCCCAAGTCCTGCTTCACACAATTGTGACAATTATGCAAATATGAATGTAATTTGCATGATTAATGATGAAATTCTTTGAATAAGTTGCATTACATTATAGGACTATTCTGTGGCATATGTAATTTCAAACATGAGAAACACAGGCAGCTATGGGTTCTATACATTAAGACCTAACTTGCATAATCAATGAGAAAATGTAATTCAGCAATGGTAACTGCGTGGAATTTTATACTAGTACTTAGGCCACACCAATTTAATTTGTTGGTTCTCGGATTTTTTCAGAAAAAATATGAAGCGACAATGCGAAAAAAAATAAAAACAGGTCTAGGCATCCTATTATAGGCTTAAATGCTACGGAATGAGCCATGAAGTCAACACAAAAGGCTGGGTTAAAATTTAAACATTGAATTTTGAACTTTTAATCAAACCACTACTGCAATGATAGATGGGAAGACTGTAACAACTAGGAAGAAAAGGACTTTCCTCAACTGTTGGGGGCAAAACATGAGCATTTTTCAGTTGATTCAAGACCAGAATCAATTTTTTTTTTTTTTTGCAAATCAGAAAAAAACGAAGAGGCGAATCCGAGAACCAACAAATTAAATTGGTGTGGCCTTAGGGTATTTGAAAGCTAAGTGAAGGTGAACATCATTAAACATAACTTCTTCAAATAAGGACCTCATTTGCATAAATTCTGAGGAAATACTAGAATGGCATTCTTTGTTACAATAAGACTGTCTTTTGGTTAAGAATATGATCAACTGATTTAATTCATGGAAATGAAGATCCTATTTGCATAACCATGGGGAATAATCTATAACTTCTCCGTCATTAAGGTTTCATTTGGCGAAGGTATGAGATCGTGGAATTCTAGTTAGAATCTTTTTTCCACATCCAACGAGACAAAATAAAGCAACAAAATTTACAAAAGTTCTAAATACATGTATATAATGGATGTTTTCGAAATCTTGTTTTAATATGATTAAAAATATATTCACCTCAAATGAGGATGACAAAATCATACATGTACAATGCATATCTGATGCAATGATACGATACACAACAGGAACACTACACAGCACGGTTACTCAAAGTGCAATTCAATCTCTGGAAAATTGCAAAATATTTTTTACACTCGACATTGACAAGAAAATGGAACATGGCTGACATACAAAATGTTCACATACAATCCAACTTGTTCACCAAACTCACTTCTTGTGAGCAAACAACAAATGAAAACTGTTCTTATTTGGTAATGTACAGTGTTCATGTTTCAAGAGTCATTTGGCTTGACATAAATGTATATAAAATACAACATGGTGTATTCCATATCACTATGGGTAAGGCCACACCGACTTAATTTTAAGGATGACATCCTCTGAAGACCCCCAAACTAGTGCGTGCAGGTGAATAAAAAAAAAAAATTCCGGCCAAAAATAATAATGGTACTTAACCACAGGAATGTTTAGCGACGTATACGACAAGTTGGCACATGCTGGCTTTTGGAGGAATTTATAAATCGGCACTGTACGTATGTACTGAGTTCTTGAGTCGTGGAGCTTCGGTAGCCTGGATGCCTGGCTCCGTATTGTCGCTAACTACCATGGACTACCCAGGCTTCGGTGGACGTGATTTTTAATTTTTTTTTAGAACAGGCGAAACTCAATGCACGCACGGATGTCATCCATAAAATTAAGTCGGTGTGGCCTAATGAGGAATTATACACCGTGAACATTATGTCATACCCACATGACATGTTGATGAGCCAGAGATGTAGAAATTTGTTATCCCTAAAAAATATTGTTCCCACATCAATTCCAATATTTGAATCACAAAGTCAAATTTCGAAAAGGGCGCATGCATTTGAATTATTCTATGGAACATTTGGAAGCCCATGTGATAAATGCTAGAATCTGGTGTGATACTGCTAGTTATCACATGAGCTGGAACACCTGTATTGAACGTTAGCATGGCCAGGTATTACATACTAGTAAAAGCTGTTTACTGTCATGTCTATTATACAGGTGCTTGCGGGCTAAAAAGTAAGAAATGGCAAAAGGTAGATATTCATAATCTCCAAGCAGATCCCTTGCGGTGACAAAAAGACAGTATCAAATTGGCCAGGTAGTATCCATTAGCCAGAGAAGGTAAAAAAAAGGCCATATATAAAAAGCTAACAATCATTCCCCCACAACCTCTGCTTGGAGAGTACATATTCCCACCTTGTGATAAAAATATCTTAAACTCATAAATATGTTAAATATTTGAAATGAATGTCCTATTATTTACATACAGATGTCACAAATAGATAATCCTCCATTTCCCAAATATGCAAATGATCATTTCATCTGTATGGGAAAGGGTGCTGACATGAGGATCAGAATACTTTTTGGCACTCACAATGTCGTGGCACAGGATGTAATGTACAAGCAATTATTAGTACTAAAATTAATCTCCACTACTTTATTCATTCTTTAAATATGAAGGCTAGGTTCAAACTGGTAACTACAAAAGTTTCCATGGAAAGAGAACAGTCATGTTGAACTTCTTATCCTGAAAAAATACAAAACAGATTCTAAGATACCCCTAATTCTGTACTAGATTGAAAAATCCTTGTTGCGGCCTAATATGCATGGGAGCACGTGCCTAAAAATAACCACAAGAATGGACAGAGTTTTTGTGTTGATATCGGTAATCTCACAAAGTTTGTTTTAGTTCGTACACTCTGACAACAGACGAGTGAAAAATCTGTTTGAATTTGACGCTTGTTTGGGGGTTGATGAGCGTGTCAAAAATGCAGGTTTTGCTTTTAAAACAACAGCTTTAGAGCAAGACGTGTAATCGTAAAAAGAGGACTTGTTTGGGACAGCGTTTGCTGCTTGTAACATGGAGGGTGAAGGGCTCATGAACAGTATGGCTGCATTTCTTCTTCAAGTGTGTTCTCTACAAAATTCATTATCAAAACCTGACCACTTTCTGACAACTAGCGATTCAGCGTGTGAAAAAGCGTCAGATGTTAGGGTGCCCCCTACCATACTAGCCTGGGTACCATCCGGATTTTTGCTACGCAATGCTCGGAAAAATCGATTTTTTCGAGCATTGCGTAGCGAAAATCCGGATGGTACCCAGGCTACTACCATACATGCAAGTTAATATTTGACTTTGCTACATGGTATTTTGAGCTGCAGGGGTGGGTTATAGGTCAAAACAGACACTAAGGCCACACCAATTTAATTTGTTGGTTCTCAGATTCGCCTCTTCGTTTTTTTCTGATTTGCAAAAAAAAAAAAAAATTTGATTCTGGCCCTGAATCAACTGAAAAATGCTAATGTTTTGCCCCCGACAGTTGAGGAAAGTCCTTTTCTTCCTAGTTGTTACAGTTTTCCCATCTATCATTGCAGTGGTTTGATTAAAAGTTCAAAATTCAATGTTTAAATTTTAACCCAGGCTTTTGTGTTGACTTCATGGCTCATTCCATAGCATTTAAGCCTATAATAGGATGCCTAGACCTGTTTTTATTTTATTTTTTTTCGCCCTGTCGCTTCATATTTTTTCTGAAAAAATCCGAGAACCTTCAAATTAAATTGGTGTGGCCTAAGGATACTAAACTGTACATAGATAAAAGGTAACATTTTATAAGGAGTGCCACAAAGACAAATTTTGAGACAACTGGTTAATTTGCATCGACACTTAGATACAACAAACCATTAATTGGAATGGATAAATAAATACAAAATGTACAAAATAGTCATAGTATACCCAATCAACCATTCACGTCAATCAAACAAATGTTATCAGATATATGTAATCCTTCCAGGTGCCCAGCATTCAGAGGAGACTCTATGATTCAGGCTCTTCTACTCTGTCTGATCTGAAGGTCTTCAAGAAGTACAAAGGTTGTCATCACTCTCCAAGCAGAGGTTTGGGTTTTGGGTTATTTTTGGCATGTTTTTAGGCTTTTTTATCGGGGTTTCTTTTTAGCACTGGAATTTTTCTTTCACCCAACCCAACCTCTGCAGGCAGTCAAAAGCATCAATGTGCTATAAACCTAATCACTTCATCACATTACAGTTGTTATACATTCAAGTAGGTGTGAACAGGGCGCATGAATAGGCACAGTCAGCAGGAGGCGTGTGGCCCAATGAATGCCTTTCTGACTGGTTAGATTTATGATAATCCACCACAGTAAAATGGATATCCCTAATGATAATTTGATGGTTCCCGGGGAGGAGCGCTGTCACGTTTCTTGAATAGGTTTGCCCCGCCCCGGGGTGAGTGCCGGCAGAGGTTGGGTTGGGTGAAAGAAAAATCCCAGTCCAAAAAAGAAACCCTGATAAAAAAGTCTAAAAACATGCCAAAAACAACCCAAAACCCAAACCTCTTCTTGGAGAGTACTGAATACCCACTCTTGTCATCTCTGTGTGAGAATGTGGGAGATGCCAGGTTGTACAGCGAGAAGGTAATCATCTTCTGTCTGCAAAGTGACCCTTTTATCTGTACAGAGGCCTGGCTGACAACCTGTCTTTTAGCTTAGAGTATCCACTGGGCTGGCACCCCAATATAAATTACTTGGAAGAAAAAAAAAACAAAGAAAATTTGCGGTCATTAATGAATACATTCTAGACTGTTAACACTATGTCACTACATGTCACTACCCAGGTTAAATATCTAACTGGGAATGTCTGAATGTCAAAAACATTATCTTTTGTCCGTATCTGGAACTTAGTGTAAGAGACCTTGGTCTCCCCACAGAGTTTCACAAGATACCGTTGTGCTGTCCATAGCTGGTAGCTGTGCTGCCCAGTTCAGCTGTTCTCTTGAGCTGGTCATAACTCCAGTGCAGCTGTTCCACCTCGTGCTGATGGCGCTGTCTGGTCTGCTCCAGCTCACTCAGGAGATGTTCATTAGTAGCGACCAGGGATCTAAAGAAACAGTAGGTTATCTACTGCTGAAAATCTGAAAAAAATAGTGCTGCATACCGGTTCACTGGACTTGGATGTGGACTTGTAAAAATGTTTAGGTTCAACTTCAAGTCCAAAAAAAACTAAAAATAACCGAGTCCGGACTTATTACCATAAAAGACCATTTCACGTATTACCCCTTTTCTTTCCAAACCACCTAAAAACATCCATAGATTGCAAAATCTTTGCTGCAAAACGAAGAAAACATTGCCATCAGGCATCGTCAAGTACCGGCCTCCATGTTATGTGGCCAAAGTTTCACCCAGACAACATTGCAAGGTTGCCAACATGCAATTTGGTATATGCCATGGGTTTAGGTCCAGACTTACAAGTCCAGAACTGAACCTAAACCTCTGGACTTGAATCCGGACCTGAACCTAAATGTAGGTTTAGGTATGCAGCACTATTAGCGCATACAAAACATACAATTATATAGCTCTCCTTTTCATAAAATGTAACAAATAAATTAATCTTGGAATTTACAGTTTTGGGTGAAATTTATTAAGACCATAAAAGAGAATATTGTATATAACACCCAGGTTAGTTATTTGACTGGTTTGTACATATGTAGGTCTGTGAAGTTCATTTTCAAAGAAATTTGGGAAAGTTTAGCACCTTTAGCATGCCATCCAGTCTCATTTTCAGCTGTGATGCTCAAATGTCTTTACAAATACCTCAGAAGTAACATTTGAAAGGAAAATGAAGTTTAAGAAGCATTCCTATGACAAATAACACAGTGCTAATGATAAAGGAGCAATGGATATACCATACTTTTTCTAATTATCAACTTAGGCCACACCAATTTAATTTGGTGTTTCTCGGATTTTTTTAGAAAAAATATAAAGCGACAGGGTGAAAAAAAAAAACAGGCCAAGGCCAAGGCTATTGTTAGCCAGAAATGTTACAATATGAACTGTGAATTGAACATACCAGACTGGTTTACGGTTTATGATTGAAACAATAGATGTTGAACTTTCAATAAAACAAAATTGCATTGTTACATTGAACAACTTTAGAACTAGGAAGAAAAGGACTTTCTTCAACCATTGGGGCCAAAATATGTCTTTCATTGAGCATTTTGCTGTTAATTTAGAACATATTAATTTTTTTATTTTTTTTGCAAATCAGAAAAAAATGGACAGGGTGATCTGAGAAGCAACAAATTAAATTGGTGTGGCGATAACTAGTTTTGTGCTGTAAGATGACCTGAGACACCTACTTGTGACTTTCCTGCAGCATGGATGTCAACTCCTGCATTTTCTTGTAGTTGACCAATTGGAGCTTCAAACTGTTCACTTCCTGGTTTAGTTGCTTATTCTGCTCACCTGGAAATTCAACACACAATGAGGTTTGGACATGCCGTACCTAGGCTGTGTTTATGTGAAGTAACCCAAGGCACTTTACATGTGGTTTACCCCGAAGCCGGTTTCAAGTGGCTCCATCTGAACGCTCCAAATCACATTGAAAGTGCCTCGATCCCAAACCACTTCTAGAGGTGGTTTCGAATTGGTTTTCCCGCATCGCGATTTGCGTCTGAACGCAATGTGATTTCAATGTGACTTCGCCTGGTCATGGATAACGGGGTCATATTTCTTTATTTATATGCAATATCAAATTTTACGTGGCATTTATGCAACTTAAAGAGCAGTAATGGTCAAATAACGTGTCCGTTCTAGGACGAGCTTCACCGCCTCTGGCGGGACCACGTCGGCATTCGGCCGAGATACGCTGGGAGGGGGGCATCAGCAACCAGGTCGTTGACCTCTGACATTAATAACACCGCACTGCGAGTTTTCATCAAACAACAATAAATGTAGCTCAAGCAAATTGTGATCGGACACGGTTTCAAAGGAATGTGTGGCAGCTGCGACCTGATGTGAGGAATGCGAGTTACCTGAATTGCGGTTTGGGTGACTTCACATAAACACGGCCCTACATGTTGGCTGCCTATCCTATACATATTTATGCACAGTCATGTGTTGTATGTACAAAAAATCTACATTTCCATGACCCACATCCCCCAGGTACAATGTATATACTGTACATGTATGTAGCACTTTACAAAAGATAAAATGTAACAGACATAAATGTTTAATGTACGTTATGTCAATATGTCATATTTCTAGAATAGACAGTCTGGTATAATCCTATTGATTGCTTTGTAATTATTGCCATACATTATACCAGGGTTTTAGCCAGCCTGAAATTTTTTTGTCATCCAAATTTGTTTGATCAATGAACATGTCGAGGTCTTGACCCTCTGAAACTCTGTCTCCTGCATTTTGAGGGGCAGTATTTGTAGACAGAGCTCTTTTGGTGAAAAATTGCACAAAAGTTTTTGAGGGAGACTTGGAGTGAAGGAAGCTCAAGATAAGTGCTGCATACCGGTTCACTGGACTTGGATCCAGACTTGTAAGAATGTTTAGGTTCAAGTCCATAAAAACCTAAAAGTCAAGAACCGAGTCCAGACTTCTTACCATAAAAGACCATTTCACATTACCCCTTTTCTTTCCAAACCACCTAAAACCTTCCGTAGATTGTAAAATCTTTGCTGCAAAATGAAGAAAACTTTGGCATCGTCAAGTATCAGCCTCCATGTTATGTGGCCAAAGTTTCACCCAGACAACATTGCAAGGTTGCCAACATTTAATCTTGTATATGCGATGGGTTTAGGTACGGACTTACAAGACTGGAACTGAACCTAAACCTCTGGACTTGAATCCTGACCTGAACCTAAATGTGAGTTTAGGTATGCATCACTAATACTGATAGCACCCAGCTATAAAGGCTTTTAGCTAGGGGGTGTCCAGGGTGTCTTTTGGACGCCCTGTACTGAAAATACTAAGAAATTGGACGCCCTACTTTTTGGTAGGACACCCTAATGACGCCCTATTTTTTCCACTCCCAACCCCTGCCATGCACACATGCCTCCCTTCAGCATGATAAATACAAAAATTATGGTTTACTGCAGGAAAAAAACTGAAATTCCTCAAAATTTGCACCTCAAAATGCAAAAAGTAGTGTTTGAGAGCATTATGAATCTCAAAAAAGCCCCCCTAAAAGCTAGCGCACTGCACATCTTTGCTGCGCATAGCATACAATAAAAAAATGGACACCCAACAAAAAAATCCTAGCTAAAAGCCTGCCTGAACCTAAAATTGGGTTTAGGTATGCATCACTATTCAAGATCATAAGAAACGTAAAATTTAAACCTACCGATTCTCCTTAAATCCTCAGCACCTTGAGACTGTGAACTTGCTGATGTCTCCATGGAAAATAACCTTTTCTTCAGCACTTCCCCCTCTTCTAAAGCCTGCTGTAACCTCCCACGTACAGACTCCTGTGGGAACAATGGCAGCAGAGTCAACTCCCACCTGAAAATAACCTGGTCATGATTCTCCCTGCTTCTGCTAAACCCTCCATACGAGGACTGTGTACCTACATGTAACATCAGGTACGGTTAGGGTTGCGTACCTTTTCATAACATCAGGTACAGGAACAGAGTTTTAGGCCCAGGTCCGGACCTGCACCTGTACCTGAAAATTCAAGCGCGTCACATGTTCTACTGAAATTCTTCAATAATGACAGAAACATGAATAAAGTGTTGACAATTCGTCCTGTATCTTTCAAAGAACATCACCTGAATATAACCATGGATGATATAACTAGGTTTCCTATCTCACTCCTCACTAGTTCTCAGAGATGGAAGCTAAGGTAAATCTCTTTATTTTAAGTTTTTTTTTTTAACGCTAGATGTTCATTTTCCTGGCAGGCCTCCTTGTGTGTAGTGATCAAGTATAAATTTTTGTTCCGGTCCAAAAAAAACGGTCCACCGACGTTCTTTTTTTTTCCGGACCGGACCGATACTATTTTTCCGGTCCGCACCGGTCCACCTGGACCGGTACACAGCCCTAAGGTACGGTGAAGGTTAAGGTAAGATTCTGTACCTGGTCCTGGACAATTTGACAAATTAACTTCTCAACAACAATAGAAACAAGAATGAGAATCTTTATTTAGACTAATAAAACAGCACAGAACTATGTGCCCTTATTCAGACAAAACAGAACCGTGTGGAGGAATGTTTCTTGTTGCATTTCTAGTGTCCTACTGTAACAATACTCTTGCTGTCCTAGAAATATCTGTTGCATATTAGATATGCTGGCTCCCTGTCACTTTGGTCAATCTATGTTGCATGAGGCCATGGGGTATGTAAACTTATTATGTTATGTACCAGCACTAGTGATTTGGTATTTTGGTCCTGTACCTATGATGTAATAGATTTTCATGGTACTGTACACAGTTGATCCTTTTGTTAGGCCACAGCAAGTAAATTTTCTGGATGACATCCTCCGCAGACTCCAAATCTAATGCGAGCGGGTGAAAAAAAACAAGGCGGGCCGAAGAAAACAAGGTTCCTACATTTTAAAATTTTGACTCAATCATTGTACAGATGGTTTTGATTCAGTAGGAACATCACATATACGTGGGTACATCACATATACACAGCCAGCATCACATATCACAGCATCTCCTCTCTTCATGAGTTATCTGCCATTCACCTTCCGGCATGGCAACAGACATCTTTGCCCATTTTCGGCATGTTGAACACTGTCAAAAGGCAACAAAATTTTTTTTCCCAAAAAAATCAGGCGAAAACTAATGCGTGCGCTGATGTCATCCACAATTACTTGCTGTGGCCTTATGTCTTGCGACACAAATAAGAGTCTGCCTACTGCACTTCTCTGCTCTTCCTCCAGCCTGGTTCTCAGGTTCTCCTCCCCGTCAGAGCTCAGTCTCCTCCTCAGTTTGACATTCTCCTCTGCAAATGCTGCCATGTCTTCATTTAATCTCTGAAACTCATGTTGATATTTTGACGTGCACTTTGAGACAAAGTCCGTCACCAAGTTCTTTGCAAGACCTGTGACAAAAAAAAAATGATGCAGCATTTAGATTATGTATTGCAGCATTTTATCATCAAAAATACAATTGCCAAGAATACTGCTGACCTACTTGTAATACGTATCAAAATCTAAAGTTTGTTTAAAGTCAAAACTTTTGGTCCAACACAAAAAAATTCTCTCACCTAGAGCTTTCTACTCTGGTCTTCCTCGGTAGACTGACCCAGTGAGGCTTGTCACATGGCTTCTTTGAGGAAGACCAGAGTGACTGGTCGAAAGCACTAGGTGAGAGAATTTTTGTGTTGGACCAAAAGTTTTAACTCTAAACATGTAACTACCAAGTTGACAGAGATGAACTTTCAAGATAAAATCTGACGTTGTGTGCATAAAGATATATTTGGATTTTCATCAGCTGCATCTTAATGACATACTCAACCATGTACATTTACTTGAAGCATGAAAGTTCATCTGTGTTGGTACAAATCATTATGAAATAAAGACTGAACTTTAACTTCCAACACTAGATATAGAATTGGGACTTACCCCAAATTTTCTGAATCAGACTTCTTTGCAAGAGGAGTTAAGGAGGCAGTCTACATGTACATATTAAGAGCTCACAGACCTACGTATACCCTGAACAGAGACGGGGGGCGACACAAGTTATCTGGCACGTATGACCCGCTACTACGGTCACGTGTCTCTGACGTCACCTTCCAAGAGTAGACGGGTCCATTCCGTGAACTCAATTCCGTGATGGAGTCAACCGAAAATTTGGGGTAAGTCCCAATTCTATATCTAGTGTTGTAAGTTAAAGTTCAGTCTTTATTACATGTACATTTACATATATCTGTGTCTGTTACCTTGAAACTTCTGGTTCTTGTGTAATGATCCTGACCCATTCCAGTACTTGTCAACAACCGTCAGGAGCTGGTCCATGAACTCTGACCTGATGATATCCACGGCTACTGTTGTTTCACCTGCCGTCTCCTGCTCTAGCTGCCGCTGAAACAAGGTTAGACAAATAATTCATTCAAAGCTTACAATACATTTCTTATATGTTTGCCATATATTAGGCCACACTGAGTTAATTTTATGGATGACATCCTTTGAAGACTCCTAAACTAGTGCGCGCAGGCGAAATCCATACTATTTACTTGCTGAAGCCTAATGTTATACCTCGATATCTAACCTTCATCATGCATCAGAAACTTTATTGTTGTTTTAAGCTAAGCTTATCAGAAATTCAAGGATTAGGTGTAAGAAGTCGTTTGGTGTAATGTAGCCAGCTGCCGCTGCGTCACACGCCTGCGAAGCTGGTGTGTTACACCGGAGGGCGGTTATACCGGCTATACAGTACAGATACATGTAGTAGAGCAAGATACAGCACAGCAAAGCCAAAATTCTGATGGGGAAAGAAACAAAAATTACCTTAGCTACATGCTGTTCAGATGATGGCTCCATCAGAGGCTGTGATTGGCTATGGGCTTGTTCCACAGATTTTGACTGGCTATAACTTTGTAAAGTGGGCTGTGATTGGCTGTAAAGTTTAGGTAATGGCTGTGATTGGTAGTAAGGTTGATCACGTGATTCAGTAGCAGAACTTTTTATTGGTGGTTGACTGACTGGGACTGTTGAACGCTCCTCTGTCTGTGCACAATCTGTAAAACAAAACAAGTTTGAGTTTAGGAACCTCATACACAACAGTACCTCCATGGAATATGTAGAGCTTTTGTAAATAATGTCTTATTTTGTCTCATAAGGGTGTAATAAGCATAATCTATTTCATTTTTGTCTTCTCTACTCAAATTATACTGTATGTGTCAAAAAATGAATTTCGAGCCCTGGCCATCTACATACTTTATAGTACTCTCAGGGCCTGAATAAATGTACCAGTTATTTTTTCTCGCCAATCCATCCAACACTTTCTTATTTTGGATGGTACAATTTAATACTTTTTTTCACAATTATGGCAAAGCTAATATCATATATATATATTGGAAATCACAACTTGCAAACATTTTTTCTGTGAGCAAGTTGCCCTGAAAACCAGGTCGCCCTTGTGCAAGTTAGTTTCTTTGGAACAGATGACAAGTACTTTGGGGATAAGTTATTTTTAGAATGTTCTAATTTGGAACAGTCATCTTTTAAATGAAGACAAATGGAGTGAAATTTGCCTGGTACTGGTAATTTTCAATGCTACCTGTAACAGTGCAGATATGCAGAAAAAGTATTTCGAGCCAATCATGCAGATTTTTTGCATAGAGTGTACATGAGTGCAAACATGTACATAGAATGCGAACATGAGATACATGTACTGCTAATGATGACATGGACAGGCTGGATATTCAGGACCCAGGGTTCTAGCCAGACTGAAAATTTTTTCCGTCAACCCACATATGGAGCGCCAAAGGCACAAGACGTTGCACACCCTCTGAAACCCTAGCTATCTCCTGAATTTTGAGGGGCAAATTTGCAATTGCGTATAGACAAAGCTCGTTTAATGAAAACTTACACAAAATTTCAGCTTGATTTTGAGGTAAGCGACATGTGGATCTCGGTTGGATCGGCAAAGAAAAGAAACAAAATTTTGTAACACAAGCTTGTTGACTATTTACGACAGATATTTAGGTAAAAATAGAGCCATTTGTTATATGTGGATTAATAAGGAATCACACACCCTGCTTTTAGAAAGAATGACATAAAGACATCCTATATTTCCACCCACGTATTTTCTAGTTACTTTTCCCGGTAACTTCACTGAATGTGATCATAGAAAAATAGAAGTTCCCGCCATATCTTTACAGTTTACATGCATGGATTTTTGGCAGACAAATTGGACGGATTGGGCAAAATTGGACGGAAAAACGGGTGCTGGCTAGAACCCTGTCAGGACCCCTAACCTGGTGCAGGGGTGAAGACACCCTGTGATGTGAACTTGGTGTATACTTGTACATGTACATGTACTACTAATACTGAGTACTAATGATGACATAGACAGGCTGGATATTCAGGACCCTAACCTGGTGCAGGGGTGAACACACCCTGTGATGTGAACTTGGTGTAGGCCTGCAGCTCGTCTGTGAACTGTAGGTTTGGATCAGCAGCACTGTGGACCACCTCGTCAGCAAACTTCACCCTGCCCCTGTCCCTGGGCTGGTAAATACCCGGGTCTCTGGACACACTGCCTCCTGACAGGTTCAGGATAGACTTGGGCAGAGAGGAGGGAACTTGTCCTAGAGAAGAACAGACAACTTGTATATCAAATATCAAGTAAAATATCTTTGGGTGCCCAGTTGCCCCGCGCCGGGCAACCAAATTTGGCAACCAAATCATGCCCAGGCAAATGTTCCCCTATACAGTGTACAAAAAACTTTTTTGAAGCAGGTTGCCCGGCAAAAATTAGGTTGCCCCACCTGTAAGTTACTACTTTTCTCAAATTAAGTAATGTTACATACATAAGACTTTGACAATATTTCTAACAGCCTTTAGTTAACTGATACTAGTAATAGCCATTAATACCTAAAATTAAAAAGTATCTGCCGGATACAGTGGTGCAAGCCAAGTGGGCATGATTTTTGGAGGAGGGGGGGAATTCTTAATATTCAGGTGGCACACTGGGCTACCTAGGTTCAAAAATAGGTTGCCCCAAGTAAAATTTGGTTGCCCGGGGCAACTGGGCAACCAGGTATTTTGCACACTGTATACACAAACTTTCTTCGGCCAGATTCTAATCGGGAAGTTTTAAAGATAAGTTTGAATTGTCCCTAGTTTGGTAGATATGCGATGTTCTACAGAACACTTGTAGGTATTCAGGTACTTGTTGGTGTTAGATGTACAGGGGTAATGTAGTTCTTATCTTTACCTGCAGTAGCAGATTGAGCTGGCTGTCCTTGTGCCGGCTGGGAGACAGGGCCCAGCAGGTAGTCATCATCATCAGGGGGCTGCTGGGACATCAGTCGCTTCTCTACGAATAAACATTAACAGTCTTTTGAAGCAAAGTCCAGGGCTCGAAATCCTTTTTTTCAGGTACGTGCAAAATTGCACATTGGCAAAAATTTTGGGTGCAATTTGAAAAATTTATGTGCAAATTATATTGTCTGTGAAGGTTAGACATCCAGGTAATAAGATACGCTAAAAAACAACTTAAAGCAACTGGATATGATTTTGTAAACGGTCAGACGTTTCAAGACAAGGATGATGCAAATTAGTCAAGAAGCTCCTGTTGTTTCAGAACAAGAGCCAAGTAATTTTAGCTTCTTTGCTGCAACCCTCCCCCTCCTGCTCTAGGTGCAAAATTGCACAATCCGTCATTCAAAATATTTTAAAGTGCATTTTGCACATTGCACATGGGTATTTCGAGCCCTGAAGTTGGACAGCAATTGCCTAGTACATAAAATAGATTACAACATGTATCTTGATATTTAGTTTACATATAGGCCTTGATGAGACCTTGAAATGATTAGATTTTGGGCTCCCTGCCAGCTTGATAATTCCATAGTGGTAACTGCATAGACTTTTTAGTATTACCTGCAGCATTTGAAAGGTAAGGAACAATGAAAATCATTACACATAACTTGTTAGGACTCAGATAAATAGAATCTACAGAACCAGGACAACTGCTTCTGCTCTTGAGTCTTCCCTTATAACTCTAACCCTTAATCTTTTCTGGTAGTAGCATGACAGAGTAGAGAGCACATTAAGACAACAGAAAGAAACAAACTAAGATAAACTGGAAAGGGTACAGAATCAAGCTGCAAGATTCTGTATGAACAACTATGAAAGAGGTGCTAGTGTCACGGAAATGAAAAGTAACCTACAGACTACAGTGGGTGTCACTGGAAGACAGAAGAAACATGTCCAGACTATGCATGATGTACAAAATGACTACTATACTGGTGGATGTCCCAATCACTATGTACCTAATAGCAGCCTAGAAGAGAACATGAAATAGCCATGCCTTCAAGTACCAGAGTTATCAACCAAGGATTGAGGCGTTCAAGAATTCATTCTTTTCTAGAACTATCGCAGAGTGGAACTCACTGTCACCAAGTACAGTAGGGGCATTGTCATTAGATAGCTTTAAACAATGTCTAGAGTTAGATGTTCAAGGGTTAGGTGTAACAAGTCGATCAGGGTAATGTAGCCAGCTGCCGCCGCGCCGCGTGCCTGCGAAGCTGGTGTGTTACACCGAAATATACCGGCTATACAGATACAGAGCCAACAGAGCAGCCCACCTTGTCTGGTGTAGTCTTGGCTGTCGGCTGATTTGGCACTAGAGCCAGTTATCCCCACAGGCTGGCCAGGCTGCCAGTCTGTTCTCACCATCAGGTCCAGTATCTCATTGTCATCATCATGAAGTGCTGAAAATGTTTGAAATTTGCATAGTGATATTCATCTTTACCTTAAACTTACAGATCTCATCTCTCAAGTGTGTCATTCTCATCATTTATTGATTTGATTATGCAAACTGATGGGAAGGTACAAGAAAAACTACAAAATACTAGAGTATATAGAAAGGCCAATATTTGCTTGTGAGCAAATATAACATATTTCACTCTATGTCTCTCCCAATACAAAAATGTACAGTAACAACCCTCCAGACTAAATTTTTAGCTTAGGAGCGCATGCGCTCCTAGCCTCAAAAAGTTAGGCGCGCAGGCAAACATTTGGGCGCGCAAACAAAAAATCTGGTCGCGCAAAGTACTTTTTAATTTACAAGCCAAGAGAATAATGTACCTAAACAGACAATTAATCATTCTTTCATTATCATAGAAACAACATCAAAATTCACCATTTGTACTTAAAGAAAATTATATATTGTGATAAATGAAAGACCAAACAATGATTTTACAAGTAACTGTCTTTAATGTGTTCAAAGTCACTTCATCTCAGTCGTTAGGCCAGGCTGACTGATATGTCGGTCTCCTAGGCCTCTGCAGGGTTGGACAAGTTTTTTAAAATCCAACCCTATTGGGCAAGTGCATGGTCATTTTCACTTGCCCGAACCAACTTTTCACTTGCCCGAAATATAAATGACATATATCTATGCATTTATCATTGCAACAATGAAATAGTTTTATTTTTTGGAAAAAAAAAACACTTAAATGTTTTAAGCAATAATACACTGAGTTATTATGATGTAACGGTTAATAATTATTAACATTGCTACTCAAACCATTTTGTTATCGTTAAAGGTACAGATTTTCCACAACAATGAAGACTAATTTTCTTTATTTCTTACAACTTTTCAGGTAACACTGCATGTCTAAAGTAGTTTCATTGACTGAAAAATAATTCTTAAAAAATTAAATACAATAAAAAAAGCTCATGGAAAAAAGGACAGAGTAGAAAACATAAAAGGGGAAGAATAAAAAAAAAATAGGACTTCATTTGGAATTGCCTATAATTTACAAATTTATAATCATTTAATAATATATGCTACACAAATGTCTAAAATTAATACCTTCAGTTGAAACTTTGCTATTAATATTAATTATTTCTTCAACTGTATCAAAACAATCTACAACTTAGTTTGAAAAGTCTGCACAACAGACATCTGCCCAAGTTTTCCTTAGACTTAGAGGAGTTCCAGTAGAAAATCCTATCAGTCACGCATTGCCAAACTTCCCTGTCCTGGACGCTCCTGGGCCATGAGAGAGGATCTCTTTTCAAACACAAACTTTGCCAACAGTCAAATATCACAAGTTGTGGCTGATAAAGATATTTATCTTCTTGATTTCCCCCCAAATTTAGGCCAGATGGCAGTTTAGAATCCCCTAAACAATTCTGGAAACACCGTGTATGACTCCCGGTCGCGCTAGGTCGCCGTCTGCACAAGCTTGAAGGCGAGATCTCGTCACCTGACCCCTCTAATGGTATAAGGATATCAAGTCTCGCGAGAGTCGGGCTGCCGAGAGGTCACGCTAGATGAAAACAAGATGGCGCCCCGGTTGTGTGTTGTTGTGTCGGGCCTGTTTTTTCGTCGAAAAAAAGCTGTTTGCCGCTTTATTTGCCGAGATAATGGTATCTACGGACTTGTAATGGGTTTTCTGACAAATGAACATGATTTTGCCTGGCATTGATATGACATTCTTACGGGAAAAAATAAGAAATTTTTGCCTCTAACAGCGCTATAGCCAATAATTTAGGCGCACCGCGGATTCTCTGCCGGTCGCGCAGTGCGCGACCAGAGTAAAAAGTTTAGTCGCATTTCGTAATTTTTGGTCGCATATGCGACCAAAACGGTCGCAGTCTGGAGGGTTGAGTAACTCGACTGTTCATTACGCATTACGCAATTTCTCCGATTCTCCGACATTTCTCCGATCTACAAAATGCACATGTCCACATGCCCACCAGACCTGAAAAAGATGCTTCCCCAACCTAACACAATCAGACGCACAACTCGCAACAGTCTCTCCACTTGAAAACAATTGCCCTCACTGTGCCAGTTTCTTGAACTCACTCTACATACATACTGCAGTACACATCTGGAACAGTCTCCCAGACAACGTGGTCGGCCTGATCACTGACAACAACCTCCAGTCGTTCAAAACAAGAGTACACCGGTATCTTCTTTCCACCACCAGGACTTCTGCATGTAGCTAGAACTTTTCAGTTGCTGTAAACCAATGATTAGCCAGGAGTGTTACAACCCGGGCTATTGTTTACATCAGCACATGATAGAAAAAAAAAACTCACCCCTGTGCCCCTGTGCAAAAGTACTGTAATAATGCACACACCGAACATGCGCCCCGACGTTGTACCCTTGGGAAAGGTACTTTACACGACTTTCCTCACTTCACTCAGGTGAAAATGAGTACCTAGCTTTGGTTAGAAGAGTTGCTGTTACAGTTCTACTCGGTAACCCGTAACCCAGGTGAGTGGTAATACCATTCAGGCGGTAGCACCATTCACCTTGAAGTGGCCTAACGGCCGTGTTACGTGGCAACCACTAAGTAAAAAAAAAAATTAACAGTACTATCATTGGTATCAGATAGCACACAAGCCTACATTTTGTAGTGGCTCAGGAGCCTTCAGTCTGCACCCCAAGATCTAAGCTAACAAGGCTAACACACGTGTACATCTCATTACATACTGACCTGTGGAGTACTTGGACAAGCCTCTGGTGTACTCTGCCCTTGGTTGTGTAGGCCTGTGTGCAAAAAAACAAGTGTGTTGAGAAATGCCTGGTATCTTTAGTGCACGCAATCCCAGTCATTGGGAACATTTAGAAGTATAATAAGGCATTTGGACTGATAACGGACTGATGATTTACTATTTCTTTTTGTCTTATATCTTTTTAGTTTGATTTGTAATCTGTGACCCCGCCCTCACCCTCGACCTTGTTGAAAAGCGGTCATATGTATGTACCGAACAAGCTTTCGAAATAAAGGCTTACTACTACTACTACTACTACTACTACTACATTGAGGCAGTCATAGTGTGGTAAAAACCGTGGCATTGGGACAAGAAGACAGCCACAATTGTCCTGCACTGACAGGTTGGTCTGATTTTTATCTTCTTGTCATCCAGCCATGGCTCAGGGTTCACAGCAAAGGCCAAGAAGACAAAAGGAGAAATGAAAAGGACAGTCACGTACCGTCCTGCTGTAGCATCTGCACCTAGAATCTGCTCTGCAAACTCTACTGCCTACAAATAGCACAAGGAAAATACAGCCGTGAGGACAAGCAAAATCAAAATGTTTCACAGCAGATCTAGAAGGGGAAAGAAGTGTCTGTTGATGAAATGATGGAAACCCAGGAAACGCTGTAAGCCCCATCACCTTCTATTTCAAACACCTCACTCAACAACAGCATGGAAGAATAAAAATGCCCACCACTCTGACTGCCATCAGAATGTGGGTTTTCATGACCGACTTCAGAATCATGTTTTTTTTGCAGCAAAAGAACTCTATCTTACAGCGGGCCTAGAAAAAGGGTCATGCCTTTGTATTCCTTGCTGAAGGCTAAAAATCTTTCAATGTGAAAACAGGAGGCTCCTCATAACACCACAGTTATGCAGTGCCACCTACCTGTTCTGAACTAAAATGCAGGATGGCTGCCTTCCTCTCTGTGTCACGGACAGGCCTGTCATCTGTACAACAAGCAGCAAACTCAATAAAATGTCACTGAGGAACATACATTTATAACAAATGTACGATGATGCACACCAGAGGTTGTCTAAATGTATTTTCTGATGCAAAACTGTCTAAATACCTTTTCAAATATCAGGTGCACAACATAAATAATTTGTGTCAGCAAAACAATATTGCCTCTCTTCAATGCTGGAATCTTGAATTCCACCTAACTTTTAAACAAATAAATACAACAAAATACTCAAATGCATAAAATATGCTTTATGGTAGTGAACAATCCTAGTGCCTTTACATAAATTCCAGAAAATACAGAAATATGTGAACAAAAGTGCATATTTTCTTATGATTATGAGCCCTGTACTTAAAAGTACATGTATCCTACTCCTAGTAGCTATAGGACCTAGGAAATTTTCCCGACCAACTGTACAAAAAAATAGCTTTTAGCTGATGATCTGACACCTGAGTGATAAAATGTTGTACAATTGGTTTTCTAACATTGACATTGAAAATAAAAGGGTACTTAATGCAACAACAACTGCAAGTTTTATCATTATTTTTCAGGACTGAAACAGAAAACAAGGCCTTAAGGCCACACCAATTTAATTTCTTGGTTAACGGATTTTTCTAGAAAAATAATGGAGCGGGCGGGCGAAAAAAAAAAACAGGCCTAGGCATCCTATTATGGCCGAAAATGGTACGATAGGAGCCATGAAGTCAACACACCAGGCTGGTTCAAAATTTAAACAATGAATTTTGAACTTTTAATGATACCATTGCATTGAAAGATGGAATAACTGTAACAACTAGGAAGAAAAGGACTGTTTTCAACTGTTCAGGGCAAAATATGAGCATTTTGCAGTTGATTCTGAATTTTTATTTTTATTTGCAAATCAGAAAAAATGAAACGGGCGAATCTGTTAACCAAGAAATAAATTAAGTCGGTGTGGCCTAACCTACCCAGTCTCCTGAGGTTGGGGAGCATGTGCACCACAAATAACCTGTAGTCCGGCTCATTTTTTGCCACAGGGTTGAGTCTCAGGTCCAGCTCCTGGAGTTGTTGGTTACTCCTGAGGCGGAACAACTCCTTCAGCGTGGCAATGTTGTTATAATATCTGGTCTCCATCAAGGACTTTTCTAGCATGTAGATAGTTAGTCAGTCAGTCAAGCAAACAGGACTTATACTTACTATATAGCATCATGCTCTTACCATATATGACAATGTTGTAAGTTACAAATATCGTTGAAGAGGTTCATCAGACGTAATGATGATTCGTAAACCGGATAACTCCATCACCACAGATGTGTTTCGCAAAGAGACTCACACAGACCAATATTTGCTGTGGTCCTCCAACCACCCAGTGCATCAAAAGCTGGGCATAGTGAGGACACTTATGCACAGGGCGAACACACTGATAGAAGACCACACCCTCAGAGCAGCAGAGAAGGACAAGGTGAGGGACGCACTGCGACATTGTGGCTACCCAGAATGGGCGCTAAAAGAGGGGGATAACATCACTGACAGGAAAAAGATGAATAAAGAACGGACCTCCCAAAACAAAGAGCGACACCCTGCGAGTTACGCAGTACTCCCCTACATCAAAGGAGTCACTGAGAGACTTAAACGGGCTTACGCCAAGCACAACGTGAGTCTGTTCTCTAAACCAGGCTATACACTGCGCAATGCCCTTGTCAGTCCAAAAGATCCACTACTTCCCAGTGAGAAGTGTGGTACTATTTACAAAATATCGTGTGAGATGTGTGGTGAGGTGTATGTAGGTGAAACCGAAAGGTCCCTAGGTGAACGGACTGACGAACATCAGAAATCTGTAGACCGTCAGGACGGTAAATCGGCCCTTAGCCAACATGAACTCAAAGCGGGACATAGGGTCACAAACGGCCCTATTTTGGACATCGTTAATATCATAGACCAGGAATCCCGGAAGTCACATAGAAAGATTAAGGAAGCGGTCCATATCCAGTTGGAACGTGCCAGGATGAATCGCAACGAAGGTTGGGAGCTGCCCAAGTCCTACCTACCCCTACTCCGCAAGGAGGCGGGGGAGGTCAGAAGATCCACACAAGTCTCGACCTAGTCTCGTGTTCTCGCGAGACTAGGTCACTCCTTGAGAAAGGTGTACAGTCGACACCGAAAATTTGGAGGTACGTGTTTTTTACCTTTAAAATACAGTCACTGATTGAAGAATGTCTACTAACTGTAAGTTACAAAGTAGTACAAGCATGACGCTATTTGTTTTTGATGAGTGAAACTTAACTGTAACTTAGTTATAATGCTGTTCACCCGTCATTTACTTCACTACCAAATGCCAAGGTATAAAATTCCAGGTAATTAACACTATGGAATTAAAGCATTTTCTCATTAATTATGCAAATTATCTATTCATTCACATAACTAATATGTGCCAATGTTTCCTTCTCAATTTCATAGGTTACAGGCTACGTTTGATCAGTCCTATCATGGAACATAACAGATTTATAGAACCCCTCATTAATTATGCAAATTATATCCTGATCTACATAATTGCGATCCAATCATGTCAAGAGTTTTTGACATTCTTTGTAAATGATGACAGTACAACTGTACTCGTGTGAGCTACATGTAAGCTAAAAAATCCTATTTGTTACACGAAGAATCTGTTAACATGACACACTTAAAGTCACACAGTATAAAGGATACAGGTTGAGTTTTCCCAGCATTCTCAGCTGTGCCAGTCCTTCTAGACTGTGTAAGGCATTGCGGGACAGGTCCAGGTGCTTCAGTCGACTGAACCCCTCCAGCGCTGACCCCAGCTCTGTGATCTTCTCGTGGTAAGTACCGGGCAGTGACAGAGAACGCACATCATCTGTACAAAATAACAAACAGCATGAATGGTTTATCTTGTTGCATGTGCACCTTTGTGCACCCAAATTTATAATCTCCAAGCAGATCTTTTGGTGGGGGTAAGACAGTATCAAATGGCCAGTCTGTATCCATTTCCCCACCCAAGATCTGCCTCCAGTCGAACAGGGAGGAGCACTTCTTTTCAAAAATGGTGTTGCTGCCCCTCCTTGTGTCCCTATTAACAACTATCAAAAATTTGTTGTGCTAAGATTTTTACAAGCGGTTTATAGCTTGAATCTGGGACAAATGCAGTCACCCGCGTGGGTGGGGAAATGGATACAGACTGGCCAATTTGATACTGTCTTACCCCCACCAAAAGATCTGCTTGGAGATTACCAAATTTAGATCGAGCTGTGCACCCAATTGCAATCCTTTCTTCATTATAGGTTTAGGTATGTAAAGATGATAAATGTATATTTAGTATATAGTAAAATAATCAAATCCTGGATAGTGTGAGTATACAGCAAATTCTTAATCAATTCAAAATCTATTTTGACTGTCAGAAAAATAATAAAATCATTTAGTAATTCTCTTTAGAAATGAAACATAATTAGTTTTTGCTGACATTCTACTTATTTTATCTTATAATAATGGTGCACCCCAAAAAATATTTTGTGCAATCGATTTTTTCGGTCCTATTCCCAAAAATGAATTTCGAGCCCTGCTGTCTAGTGGTGCATTTACTACATTCTCTGTATAAGAGAATAACCCTGGTACTGAAGAAATGAAGCCTTTTGTTTGCCTTAGTTGTCTCTCTCTTCAAACGCAGATTGTGCCCTCTTGTTATTGTCCCTCTCTGTGATTGTGGAATACAGGCGTGTGCAATACAGTCCATGTAACGTTACATATTTTGAACAAAACTTATAAAAATTTTAAAGTTTTGGATTCAGATAATAAAGTCGCTAACAGTAAGTAAAATGGAATATTTCTACTTCAGTACTTGGGGTCACACAGTAAGGCCAAATGTAAGTTAGAACAGTATATCCGCTATCCCCCTCCCCTTTCCCACCCATTTTTTCAAAGAAGCTATGATCATATATCTATATGCCCTGTTTTTCTGACAGTGCATATAAAATACCCACCCACACCCCACCCCGGCTATATGCTGACGACTAAATGTTACACCTAACCCTTGAATATCTACCTCTAGACATTGTTTAAAGCTATTAAAGCTATCTAATGACAATGCCAGTGTTACCAACCAAGGACTACTGTACTTTGTGACAGCGAGTTCCAAGTTCTTTAATACTTCTAGTTCTAGGAAAGAATGAATTCTTTTTAACACCTCAAATATCCTTGGTTGATAACTCTGGTAGTTGAAGGCATGGCTATTTCTTGTTCTCTTCTGCGCTGGTATTGGGTACTTCGTACAATGTAGTTGCGACGTCCTAGCCTGGGTACCATCCTACTTGTATGCCGGGGCTCCCACACTCGAGTGTGGGAGCCCCGGCATACAAGTAGGATGGTACCCAGGCTAGCGACGTCCACCAGTTTATTAGTCATTTTGTACATCATGCATAGTCGGACATTTTTCTTCTGTCTTCCACCTAGCCGTGGCGACTCTTGATTCGGGCTTGTCTGAGGGTAATGCAATGTAAGCCCGAATCAAGAGTCGCCACGGCTATCTTCCACCGAGACGGTTTCTTTTCATTTCCGTGTGGGTAGCACCTCTTTCAAAGTTGTTTATATGTAGAATCGCTTGCAGCTTAATTCTGTACCCTTTCCAGTTTGTCTTAGTGTCTCTTTATATATGGATCCCATACTGTCGCGGCATATTCTTGCAGCTTAATTCTGTACCCTTTCCAGTTTGTCTTAGTGTCTCTTTATATATGGATCCCATACTGTCGCGGCATATTCTAGGTTCGGTCTTACTGATTTATGACATGTATGCAAGTGATTTTGCTCTAGTTGGGCAATTGTCCACAGTTTACTTTTGGGGCCGAGGGTACGTAAGGCAGAAAACACGGGGCCCAGCCCAGGCGAGTTGGCTTCAGCTGGGGGAGAGTTGACCAGTCACCTGGGGGCGAATCGACTGACTTAGTTCCGTTCCCGATGATCTGAGCATACCTATGTTATTTTGTGGGCCTCCTGTCCCAATAATCGTTGGCCAGACTTACCGAGCTTGTCGTGGTTGAGCTCGACCCTCTCCCGGACCCACTCTTCTGTGATCTTGAGCGCCATTTTTCAAACGTCTGCAAGCGGCGAGATCTCGGCACCAAGTCTCGCGAGAGGAAGGCAGAACGCAGGGCAAAGAAGGGCAAAGGTTACTCTCCAAGCAGAGGTTGGTGGGGACAGTCGAACCGCAGGTCACCGTAGAACGCGTTATTCAGTCGAACCGCAGGTCACCGTAGAACGCGTTATTCTCTAAGATACGGCGTTTGCCGGGTCACGATTTGACCCCGTTGCATGGGTGTAAACAACTGCCTATAGTGTAACAAAAATACCTCAGACCTACATAATGTTTATACTTTTTCATATCTGCAGGCTTTGCCGTGTAACGTTACAACCAGGTAGATATTTCGTGCATTGCAAAATAACAGCTAGCGCTACGGCCTTCCAAACATTAGCAATTTTTGGTCACTTTATTTGTGCTTGTCTTTTTTGCTGTTCAACTGGATCCCATTAGCTAATACCACAGTGTGATAGCCCACTTCTTTGCCTTTACATTGATGCCAAAGACCCCTGGTAAATTTTATGGCAAACGGGTTTGCCCCCAAAAAAACTGTGACGATGCGCACATCGTGGTGGTCAACTTTTAGCCCAGTTGTAAGCTACTGACACACACCATCCTGAGTTTCCGCTACATTTTGATACATTTCGCGTAATGTCATAAGATTCGTTTCTTGGTTTGAGAAACTGTATGAATGTGGCTACCACATGCAATATAATAAGTGGTATGATACCATTCAAGTATATACAAAAAGAGGAATTTAATACAAGGTTCTGACCATTCAAAAATCGTCGAATTTGAAGTCAATCGGTTTCGAACTCTTGCGTTCGATCCATGGAACCAAGGCAGCGCGTTCCATTTTTCGCGCCGCCAACAATGTTGCAACTTTCGACCGCTGTTTGCGAAAGTTCATGAAAAGAAGGAATCAAGTTTTTCATTACAAACAGACTTTACGAAACCCATTCCAAGTCAGACTTATATCATGAAGACGCTAGAGAAAGTGAGATTCTTGTGCAACTATACATATGTCAGTACA